CAGATGAGGAAACCGAGGCCAGCGAGGTACCATGGCTTGCCTGTGATGTCAGCCTCTGAGCTACGAACTGGGCACTGGGTGGAACGCACATCATTGCTTCCCGCGGAGGGTCCCGTTGCCTGTGTGCGTTCTCCATCCTCTCAGTCACGTGTCCACTCATCAGCCGCTGAGTGGGTCCCCTCTGCACCCTGCCCTGGGCTACTGAGACACACTGCCGGTTCCCCCTCCGGGAGCTGGCAGGACAGGGCACTGACTCACACAGAGGCAAAGAATAGGCATTCGACTGTGCAGGTCTGCCACAGGTGCCGTGTGTGTATGCTCGTGTGCGTATGCTCGTGTGCGTGTATGTGTGCACGAGTGCATGTGTGTGGGGTGTCTGCCAACTCTGGCTACAGATGGGGAAGCAGGCCTAGGAGAGAGGGGTTTCCTCAGTGCAAAGCCAGGTGTTCAGAGCCCAGGTGTTCAGAGCCCAGGTGTTCTGAGCCCAGGTGCTCTGAGCCCAGGTGTTCTGAGCCCAGGTGCTCTGAGCCCAGGTGTTCAGAGCCCAGGTGTTCAGAGCCCAGGTGCTCTGAGCCCAGGTGTTCAGAGCCCAGGTGTTCAGAGCCCAGGTGCTCTGAGCCCAGGTGTTCTGAGCCCAGGTGTTCTGAGCCCAGGTGCTCTGAGCCCAGGTGTTCAGAGCCCAGGTGTTCAGAGCCCAGGTGTTCTGAGCCCAGGTGCTCTGAGCCCAGGTGCTCTGAGCCCAGGTGTGTCTATCACTGCAGTTTATCTCCCTGGGTCTTTGACGGTGAAGTAGCTGGTCCTGCTGTGCCCTGTGTCCAGTGGCATTGTTTCCTTCATCAGTTTTCCACCCAACTTTTTATTTCAAAAACTTTTAAGCACATAGAAAAGTTGAAAAAAAAAAGAGAGGGCAGTACAGCGAACACCTTGCCTACTTCCACGGGCACATCTTCTCGTTTCTGAACCCTGGAAAGGTGGTTGCATCCTGACTCATCACCCTGGTGGCCGGTGGGCCTGGGGACCAGCATGCCGCCTACAGAAAGCCCGCGCTCCCCTCCCCCACGCCCTTCACAGGCACCTGTGGCTTCTCCGCAGGATCCAGTCTGGGGCCACTCACCGCAAGCACTGTTGTCTCTGCGTCTTCAGTCCCCTTCTTTCCAGAAAGTTCTTCCTCCGTGCCACGGACACGTCCAGAGCCCAGGCCTGCTGTGCTGTGGCTCGTCCCCCCATCGGATGGGCCCTTTCTTGGTGATGGGACTCAGGCGGGGCATTTTTGGCAGGAGGCTGCCATGTGACGGTGTCTGAGCGACAGGTGCTGGTGCCCTGGGGTCTTTCTCACGCCCTGCGCCCCTGAGCAGAGATGAGAGTCCTGGCCCGTGGTCCTGGCGCGTGGTCCTGGCATGTGGTCCTGGCGCCCTGTGCCAACAGACCTGGGAGAGCCGTTCCTGGAGGCGGAGTTGGTAAACGGATCACCTCCTGCCCAACCGTCTCCCCAGTCTATAAATTGGGCACCCCAATTCATTCCTTTACGGGGGAGGCCCAAAGTCCCTCATCCTCGCCCCCTCCTCGCCCACACGGGACTGTCCTTTCGTATTTGCACACGGATGCCTCACTCCGCCGGGTGCGCAGGCGCCCGGGAGCGTCTCTCCGCGTTTCCAGGCCCCGGTGCCTCTGGGCCTCCCTCTTCCGCGCACTTTCCTCTGCGGGTGCTCGGCTGTTACCCCTGGAGGCAGAGGCGGAAGGATGGGGAATCGCTCTCCATGTGAGCGTGAGGTGGCTTCGCCGATGGGGCCCCCAAGGGGGTGAGGGGGCAGGGGTGCCGGGCGACAGTGTGCAGGTCTGTTGTTGGGCACAGAAGGCAGGCAGATGGTGGCAGAGGGTCTCTGGACGGGACACAGAAACGTCATCACCTCCTGGCCGTCTTTCTCACTGGTGGTTCCCCGGCTCACTGCGCTGTGGGGGCCACCCGAGACCCGGCCAGTGAAATCTGCCTTGTCCTGGCGAGTGGGGACCCGCGTCCTGGGCTTCTCCCAGCCTCTCCTCCCCTCTGGGGAGGGTGAGGAGAGAACTTTCTACGCTGCAGGTGGTGACCTGTTTATGGGCACAGAAGCAGATTAGTGGGTCACACTTGTTATGTAAGTTGAATGGAACGGGGAGGAGCAGAGCACACGCGGGGGGACGGCATTGTTATGTGTGGCGCATGGGCCAGTGCCGAGGCGACCCTCCAGAGCACATGGGCCCTCCTCCCGGCTCCAGGCCGTGCCCCTCTGGCAAAAAGAGGCTTAGGGCCTGGCCCGGTTTGCTCAGCGGTTGGAGCGTCGGCCTGCGGTCCAGAGAGACCCGGGTTCGGTTCCCGCTAAGGGCATGTACCTCGGTTGCAGTTTGTCCCCGGCCCTGGTTGGTTGTGCAGGTGGCAACCACTCGATGTGTCCCTTTCACGTCATATTTCTCTCTCTCCCTCTCTCTCCCTCCCACTCTATCTGAACAAAAAATGAAAAAATGTCCTCAGGTGAGGATTAAAAAAAAAGAAAAAGGAGGCTTGGCCGATGCGATTACGTTAAGAATGCTGAGGCGGGAGATGATCCGGGATCACCCAGGCGAGCCCTAAATGCAGTCGCGACTAATGACTAACAGAGAGGCAGAGGGAGGTTACAGACAGACACGCAGACAAGGGGACGCGGCCACCGGCTCAGGACCCGGAGCCAGCCGGGGGTGGGGGAGGGGAACGGGTCCCCCACAGCCTCTGGAGGAGGAGCCCTGCCGACCCCAGCTTGGCCCCGTGAGCCCTGTGGCGGACGACTGGCCTCCATGTGTTCTGGGGGCCCTCGTAAGTGCTGCTTTGCTGCAGAGACCCCAGGAACTTCATACACGGGGGTCGGCTGGCCAGGCTGCCTCGGTGGGTGGCTCGCCCCTCCTGCACCTCCTCCTGGGACCCCAGGCTGGCCGGAGTGTCCTCCCTGTGCCAGGAGGGCACACAGCAAGGCAGGTGGCACTGTGAGGCGCAGACCCTGAACGGGCACACGGCCATCACCCACGAGCCACTGGCCAAAACCGGCCCCGTGAGCAAACCCACAGTTACGGGACAGGAGGCTGCCCTGGCCGCAGATCCAGGGAGAGCAAACCCAGGCCACCCACAGGTCGCACGCCGTGTGAGCGGCCACCTCCGGTCTGCGCGTCCATTCTGTGTGCCGACGTCTGCGCCATGTGGGAACTGTGGCCAGAGACGGAACCCGGCTCAAGTGCCTGACCCCAGTGCCCTTGACCCCAAAGCTCACGGGTTTTCAGGACCCCAGCTCTGCTCTCTGTGACCCCTGCTGACCTTCACACGCAGCGGGCCCCACCGTCTCCAAGTCTCGCCTACCCGGCTGGTTCCCCAGGGCGGGATCCGCGCCCGTCCCTCCCCGGCAAACCAGCGAGGTTGGGGGCACGTGGCAACACCTGGGACTCGCTGAGTGCTCAGCGGGGGGCTCTTGTCATCGACATTGTCTGACATTGTCACCGGCATCGCTGGGCACAGGGCGCAGAATGAACAAAGGCCAACTCTTCTCACTTGGAAGCAAAGGAGATGGTTCTCTGCCTCGGGAGCACAGTCTGTACCGTTGTGGGCCTCCTGGGCTGGGCCTCCTGGGCTGGGTCGGGATGCTCCAGGAGTCCCTTCTGCAGGGCTCAGCGGTCACCGTCCGCCCCCTGGGCGACTCCCACACCTGCGTCCACTCCTGGAGCCGTGGCCTGCAGAGGTGCCCCTCACAGTGCCCTGATATGGGACCGCTTGCCCGTGGTGCCCCGCTAGCTGGCGGCCGGGTTCGCACACCACTAACCTCAGCAGTGGTGGACTCGCAGCGCCGCGCGCTGGTCCGAGGCGGTGCTGACCCCTTTCACAGCGGGCGGGTCGGGACACATCTCTACCTCCAGTTTAAAGCCGAACCCGCAGAGGAGCCCCTCAGAGACTAGGGGGTGCCTCAGAGACCATGACGGCAGCCCGAGTGGGCAGAGACCCCGCACAGGGCCTCCCGTCAGTCACCGGAGTGTACATGGGGGCTGGTGGGATAACTGGGAAGTAGGTCTCTCCAAAGTTATGTCTATCTGGGAACTTCCTGTGTGACCTTGTTTGTTAATCCTCCTCCAAGGCTGCTTTTTCCACTGATTTTCAGAGAGAGGGGAAGGGAAGGAGAGAGAGAGAGAGACAGAAACATCAATATAAGAGAGAGACATCGATTGGTTGCCTCCTGCACGCGCCTCGAAGGGGGCCGGGGATCGAACCTGCAACCAAGGTACCGGCCCTTGAATCAACCTGAGACCCGTCGGTGCCGGGCCGGCACTCTAACCACTGAGCCACACCGGCCAGGGCCGTGTGACCTTATTTGGAATAGGAGGGTCTTTGCGGATGTGATGAAGATAAGGCCGGAGATGAGGTCACGCTGGTTTAGGCTGGGCCCCGAGTCCGTGACCAGTGTCCTTGTAAGAGACAGAGGAGGACACAGACAAGGGGGAGACCACGTAAGACAGGCAGAGACCAGAGCGATGGGGCCAGGAGGCCAGGATGTCTGGAGCCACCAGGAGCTGGAAGAGGCAGGGAGGAGCCCCTGGAGCCCGCGGCGGGCGGTGGCCCCGCCCACACCTCTGGCCTGCGGGACAGTAGCGGCAGCGGCCGGTGGAAGCCCTTGTGGGGCTTGTGCAGCCGCCAGCAGGGTGGGCACGGCCAAGCCCAGCTGCTGGGAGGGGTCTGAGCTGCTCTGGCTGCACCTGGCGCATCGGGCAGTCATGTTCCCGGAGGCCTCCCTGCCCCCACGTCCGTCCAAAGTCCCTTTCCCGGACGCCTGGGAAACAGGTGCGTCTTCGGAGCGTGGCGGGAGTCTATTTCCGTGCGCCGGCAGGGTGTGGCCCTGCCCCTGCTCGGACACGAGGGTGACCGCGGCCACGTGACGCTCCGGCGTGCCCATCGGAGCTGTGCTGGCCACAGAGGCCCCCGCGCCGGTCGGCTCTGCCCAGCTCCAGGGGCCAGCCCTCCGGAGCCGCTGTCCATGGGGATGCCTGGAGGAGAGACAGGTGAGGCCCGACAGCCGGGGGAAGGCGTGTTTTCGTGACTGGGAACCGGGAGCCCCAGGAATATACTTTGGGGTGACAGGAAGGGACGCCGTCCCCGTGGGCTCCACGCTGACGTCCATGGTGGCGCCAGTACTGTGAGAGTCGCCGAATGCCGGGCTTGGGGACTTGCTCTCGTGGACGCTGACGACAGCCCGTGGAGTGGCCCCATTTTACAGATGTATAAGCTGAGACTCGGGGAAGGTGAGGTGAGGGCGTCAGTGCGAGATGGGGGTCCAAGGGCACTGGGCGGAGCCACTGGCCCACAGCTCTGCACCAGCCCCGCTCCCCCTTGTCTTTTATAGCCGTGGTTCTCAATCAGGGCCATTGACCCCCAGGGACCATTCGGCAATGTCAGGAGGCACTTTTGTCACGGCTGGGGGGGGGGTGCTCCAGGCACATGGGAGGTGGAGGCCAGGGATTCTGCTCAACATCCCACGGCGCACAGGACGGCCCCCCAGCAAAGAGTGGCCCGGCCCAGACTGTCAGCTGAGCTGAGGCTGAGAGTTCTGGGGTAGACGCCGGCCACGGGCCGTCAGCTGCTTAGCTAAGACAATCAGTGACTTCTAAGCCGCTAGGGCAGCCGACAGAGAGGAGACACAGGGAGTGAGGGGAGGAGGGGGTGGGAGGGAGCCCGGACCCCACGGGCAAAGGTGGGGTACACAGGGAGCATCTCTGTGAGCCCAAGGTGTACAGGGGCGGGTTCCACCCTCACCCCCATCCTGGAGTCCCGCTCCCAACCCGGGTCCTCAGGCCTCCATCCCGGCACAAGGCTCAGTGCCCAGTGGGTGCCCAGTGGGTGCCTCCTTTCTGGGTGGACGGACAGGCCCCCCGATGATGCCTCCTTTCTGGGTGGACAGACAGGCCCCCCCGATGATGCCTCCTTTCTGGGTGGACTGACATCCCCCCCGAAGGTGCCTCCTTTCTGGGTGGACAGACAGGCCCCCCAATGATGCCTTCTTTCTGGGTGGACTGACATCCCCCCCGAAGGTGCCTCCTTTCTGGGTGGACGGACAGCCCCCCGATGGTGCCTCCTTTCTGGGTGGACAGACAGCCCCCCCGATGGTGCCTCCTTTCTGGCCACCGGTCTGTACGAGGCGGGGTCAGGACACCTGTCCGCATCTGCCCGCCAGCACCTCGCCTGCCGGGATGTGTAGTGACGGGAGCAGCTCTGGGCCGGCTGGACCCCCTGGTCCCGGGCGGGTCTGCCTCGGGTCCACCTCGGGCAGCAGGGGAAGCTCCCCGGCAGGAGTCCGGAGAGCCTCAGAGGACTTCTGTTAACGCTGGGGACAGTGAGACAGGCCGGGCTGGGGGTGAGCCCGGCTGGGCCGCGCTGGTTCCCTGGGAGTCAGGGAAAGGGGCCTCGGGGACAGGTCGGGGGTGAGCCCAGGACGAGCTGCCCCTGCCCATTGCTCCCCGGTTGCAAGCCTCCTGGGGTCCCCGAGAGATTAGGAGATGCTGTCTGTGGGGAAGGAGAGGGGAGTTGGGGTGGGGGGTCTCTGCGTGCTCCTGAGAGGGAGTGAGGCTGGGCCTTCTTCCTGAGGGGTTTGGAGGTGGGGTCTAGGGGAGGGCTTAGGGCCGTCTCAACAGAATGTGCGTCAGCATCACGCTGCTGTGCCCCAGTGAGATGTGTTCCGGGCACCATGGTCCCGGGCGTGGCTGGCGAGTGGGCGTGGCTGGCGAGTGGGCGTGGCTGGCGAGTGGGCGTGGCTGGCGAGTGGGCGTGGCTGGCGAGTGGGCGTGGCGTGACTGACCGGTCTCTGCTGTCTGTCTCCTGAGTAGGTGGTTTAAGCTGCGCACCCTCTGGTCGGGTAAAGGGTGAACCCTTTACTCTCAAGTGTCCATGTTCAGGGAAGAGAGGATTTTGCGATTAACTAGGTGGCTGTGAACTGCTTGGCGTTTCCCTAGAAACAGCCTCAGTTTCCCCGTTCCGCTCCCCTGCTGGCTGGCCTGTCGCAGTCACTGCAGACGGGGTTGGCTGTCCCTCCGTCCCAGGGCGCGGGGGGCGAGCACGGACCCTCAACTTGCCTCCCACGGCCAGGTCTGGGCCCCCCGCGGCCCGGCTCCGCCCGTGAACTTCTCAGTCCTGACCTGGAGCTGCAGCTGCAGCGGCCCGGGGTGCGACCTCTCCGGGCCTGGCCCCGTGCTGGGCTGTCCTGAAAGTGCCAGCGGGTTCCGAGAGCGCGATGGGCGACCACATCCATTTCTCAAGTGGGATTTCCACGCCGGGGGTGGGGCAGGTCCCCGCCCAGCTGAGGTCACGCGTCCTTCGCACCCTGCTGTGCGTCCCCCGTGGTGGCCAGTAACCCGATGGCGAGGAGCCGAGCCCAGTGGAACGAGGGTCCTTATTCCCAACCCACAGGAGAACGGGAATCGGGTGACGAAAACAGCAGCCAAGGACCCGCGATTGTTTCTGTAAAGTTATAGTAAGAGCCAAAACGAAAAAACCGCAAACCTGCCCGGCCGGTGTGGCTCAGTGGTCTGAGCGTCGTCCCAGTGACTGAGGGGTCCCGGTTCGATTCCCCGTCAGGGCACATGCCCGGGTTGTGGGCTTGGTCCCCAGTGGGGGGCGTGCAGGAGGCAGCTGATCCATATTCCTCTCTCACATCGATGTTTCTCTCCCTCTCTCCCTTCCCCTCTCTTTAAAAAATCAATTATAAAAAATAAATACAAAATTTTAAAAAGCTGTAAAACCCTTAGAGGAAAACAGGGGTGTGTTTCTGTGATCTCGCAGTAGCAACGGTTTCTCAAACAGAACGCTAAAAACACAAGCCGCAGAAAACATACACACGTTGAATTTCATCTCAATTAAACACTTTTATGCTGCAAAGAACACAACGAAGAAAAGGCAGACACGACTCACAGAACAGGAGACAGTATCTGCCACTTACATGTCTGACACGGGAACTTGTATCTAGAACATATAAATCAGGCATAAGGACACAACCAAACTACATGGACGAAGGGCCCGCTCAGTCCTTTCTCCGAAGACGCCACCCAGGTGGCCCAGGTGCGTGGAAGGGGCTCAGCGTCCTCAGCCATCAGAAAGTGCAGGGCGAAACCAGGTGCGACCCACCTCACGCCACCCGACGGCTGAACCGAGGGACAGTCCCCGGTGTCACAAGGGGGTGGAGAAGCCTGGCCTCCTACCGTGCTGCCGGCGGCAACGTCAGACCGAGAATTACCGTCTGACTGAGCGGGCCCCTCCCAGGTGTGTGCCCAGGACAGAGGAGCGTGCCCAAGCACGAGGGTTTGTCTGTGATCGCCCCAAAGTGGAAACAACCCCAAGTCCTTCGACCAGTGAGTGGACACGTCCCCAGGACGGGCCACCCCGCGGCCGCACACAGAAGCCGCGCTGTGCTCAGCCCGGAGGGGCCTTGGGAACCTGCTCAGCGGGGGAGCCGGGCACGAGGGGCCACGTGCTGTGTGGTCCCATCTGTAGCTAATGTCCGGAATCGGCAGACCCCAGAGTGGATGTGCATGATCAGTGGCCGGGCGGTGGGAGGGGAGCGGGGAGTGACGGTAAAGAGTTCGGGGTTTGCCCTGGCCGGTTTGGCTCAGCGGTTGGAGCATCAGCCTGTGGTCCAGAGAGACCCGGGTTCGGTTCCCGCTAAGGGCACGTACCTCGATTGCAGTTTGTCCCCGGCCCTGGTTGGTCGTGCGGGTGGCAGCCACTCGATGTGTCCCTTTCACGTCGATGTTTCTCTCTCTCTCTCTCTCCCTCTCTCTCCCTCCTGCTCTATCTGAACAACAAAAAAAAATGGAAGGGTGTCCTCGAGTGAGGATAAAAAAAAAAAAAGAGTTCAGGGTTTGTTTCCGGGGCGATGAAAATGTTCTGAAACTGATGGTAATCAGCACACTGCTCTCCGAATGTGCTCAGGACGTTGGCGTGCCCATCTCAAGCAGGGGAATCGTAGGGCATGGGAAATCTCTCCACAAAGCTGATAACTCTTCGTTAATCCTCACCTGAGGATACGTTTTCTTTGGTTTTGTGATAGAGTGGAAGGGAGGGAGGGAGGGAGAGAGAGACGTTGATGTGAGAGACACATCGATTGGTCGCCTCACAAGCCAAACCGCACAACCCCGACCGGGGATCGAACCTGCAACCCAGGTGCCCTTGACCAGGAATTAAACCTGCGGGCCGACGCTCTAACCGCTGAGCCACACTGGCCGGGGCAAACCCGTTACTGTTAAAGGTGGGCCCTGGGCGCGGCGGCAGAGGGGCGAACTGGGGGAGGGAGGATGGTTCCCAGTTGTGTGGGATGAAAAGAATAATTGGACTGAAGGTGACAGGCACGTGGCAAGGTCCTCTGGGAAACAGGATGAGAGGAGGGGCGGGGGGGGGGGGGGGCTGTGGGCTCTCGGACCCTATGAGGCCATCCTGGCTGGACTCAAAGCCAAGGAGTTTTCCGGGTCGTTTGGACTTGCGGGCGTTACCCGAGGGGCAGCGAGGCCCTAACCAGACAGGTGGGGTCTGGAGGTCAAGGCTGCAGCCCCATCTTCAAAGGCCTGGGCAGGAAGGGGTGGCTGGTGACTCTGAGCTGGCCTGTGCACACTTGGGGGTGCCACGAGCTGCCACGCTGGGGTGTCCCATGCAGATGGCCTGGGGCGGGGCCCTGGCTGGATGAGCTCAGCCCGCAGACCCTCTGGTGGGGGTTGATGGTGAGTTTGGGCTCCTGCAGCCTCTGCGCGAACCCAGCTGTGCTCTGTGCCCATCCCCAGCTCCGTGACCTGGGCTATCAGTGGAAATCGCGAGCGCAGTGCCTGGCGCAGCCTGGGCCCAGGAGCGGGAAGATCACGATGTCACAGAGCGTGCTGGTTACTATCCCTGCTTGCACACTGTGCCGCGTCTGAGTCCCCGAGTGGGTTTCCTGTTTCCCGTTAGATTTCAGGGGCGTTTACGGGCCCTGGTCCTGCCTGGCCCAGGCTTGCCAGCCGGTCGCTTCCGTGTGTGGGGGCGTAGGCCCAGACGCCCGCTAAGCCCTGACCTTCCGGAATGCCACCCCTGCACCCCTCAGATGCCTCTTCGGTCAGGAAGGGCTGCTCTTCCGGGGATGAAATAACACACTCCGGGGACAGGGTGGCGAGGGCACCAGGACCAGCTGCTCGAAGTGCGAATTGTCCCAGGAGTTGCCAGGAGCCGGCGCTGAGGTCTGCTGGGAGCCCCTTAGCAACCTGAGCTTCCGGGCTGTTCACAGCCAGGTTTCTCCCAGCACCCCCAAAACCCCGCTGAGCCTCACCAGGTGCCAGCCCTGCCCTGTCACCACCCTGGAAACAGGGGCCAGCGCACAGACAGGCTTCCGGAGGTGTGGAGGGCACTGCGCACGCGCCCCCCCCCCCCGGCCCGTTCTCGCCGGCAGAGAAGGGTCCCCAGCCCTGGGCTCACGGGGGGGACCGCAGAGGCTCCCTGGCAGCTGGCCCTCCCTCGGGGGCGTGAGCCTTCCGTGTCCACGTTCCCAGTAACGATTCTTCAGATTCCCAGAGGGGCTCCCGTGCTGCGGCGTCACGACGTGGGGCTCCCAGTCACAGCCCTTGTGGGATGGCCCCTCACCACCCGGGTTGTTTTCTGTTACGATCACAGTCAGGGACTCGGTGGCCAAATGGTAGAGTCGGTGTTGACACGATGGTGGAGCGAGCCTGCCACTCCCGAGCCGGCGCTGGGAGCGTCTCTCTCTCAGAAATGCTGACGGACCATTTCCTAGGGCAGTGTCTGGGTTTGGGGAGAGTTCCCATGTAGGCCCCACCCCAACCGATTTCCACTGCTACCCTCCACCTTGGGGTGCTCCTTCCTGCCAGGGGGGACCCTTTCTATTGCTTTGTTATTAACTGGAGTTTACCTGAGGGCTCACTCGGGGTGGTGTTGGTTCTGTGGGTTTGGACAGATGTATATGACATGTACCCACCAATACGGTATCACGCAGACGAGTGTCTCCGCCCTAAGATCCTGGGTGCTCCCCCTGTTCACCCCTCCCTCCCCCAGCCCTGACGACCGCGGTCTCCGGAGTTCTGCCTGCTGGTCATGTCACAGGGCTGGAACCGTCCAGTGAGAGCTTCTCAGGCTGGCTCTGTCACTTAGCAGTGTGCGTACATCTCCCCGTCTCATGGTTGGGTCGCTCGCTCCTTTTTAAAAAATTTATTGATTGATTTTAGAGATAAAGGAAGAAAGAGGGAGAGAGATAGAAACATTGATGAGAGAGAACATCAACTGGCTGCCTCCTGCATGCCCCCCAGTGTGGATCGAGCCCACAACCTGGGCATGTGCCCTGACCGTGAATCGAACCGGCGACCTCTTGGTGCAGGGGTGACGCCCCACCACTGCGCCACACCAGCCGGGCTGGAAAGCTCATGTCTTGACAGTTCACCCCTTTCTGTAACGTTCACACACCGGACATGAATCGTGGCCAGAACTGCCCATCCCTGTCTCGGAGCCACGTGAAGACGCTGGGCATTGCCACACTCGGGTCCTGATCACGTTGCCTTGGCCACATACCAGCGGGCCACCCCCGGGGCGCCGCTCGCTCGGCAGCAGCAATGACAGCATGCACCTTGCTGGCTGCTTGGGGAGGGGTGCCCTTTGACAAGCACCCCTGCGCACGGTTGGCCTCTCCTCCTCGGGCAGCCGCAGGGGTGAGTCCATCTTGGGGGTAGAAGGCCCCTGCCACAAACCCACAAGATTCATAGACGTGATCCCAGGGCCATGCGGGCAGGTGGGCTGATGCGGGCTGGCGGGATCACCTCCTGCTCCGGGGTCCCTGCAGGAAGACAGGTGTCTATGGCCACGGTGCAGTGTCCACTTCCCACCACCAGAGGGCAGCACCCTGCGCTCACCTGCGAGGCCTGGGCCCTCCCACAAAGCAAATAGATCTCCAGTAGCCAGGAAACTGGGAGTCAGGCTGTGAGACCCTGGAAACCACAATGGCTGCTGTGTGCTGAGCAGTTGGGGTTTGCTGGACCCCGGGCTGCACACCTGTGTCTAGCATCTCCCCGGCGGGCTGAGGGCGGAGGGCGGATGGACAGACAGATGGAAGTCCGGGAGATGCGAGCACTGGGTCCTCTGTGTGCCTGACAATCAGATGATGACAGTGTGGACGATCTGGGACCCACCCCCAGTCTCATGTGACTTCAGACGCGGACTGGTGGCCGGCGGCTCCCGTGAGCCCTGGGGGCCGGGCTGTGGGCAGTGCTCCCTGGCGCTTGCTGGCCGAGGTTTCAGACCTCGACTGCGACGGCTCCTTCTGCAGGGCGGGGGCGGGGGTCTAGTTCAAGCCAGGAAACCCCCACTTTCCGCCTCTTCCCATCGGTTTCATTACTCGATGAGGCAGCTTCTGCAGTTTTCCCAGAAGAGAGAGGAGCCCAGGGCATTGAACACTGTTGGCATTTAATCCAGAGCCCGGAAAGCCGCCGCCGCCGCCCCAGGACCGCAGGCCGAGCTCACCCCTCGCCGCTCTGCACGGCCGGCCTCTGCCCGGTCTCCGGCCCTCTGGAAATGCCAGGCGGGCACTGACCCTGGGCCGGGGGCCACGCCTCTCCCTTCCCGCACCTGCTTCTCTTCTCCAGGCAGTGTGGCTGCTCGTCTCCAGAGGGGTATTCAGAGCCCTCCTCCTCGGAAGGCCCGCTGTCCCCAGCACGGCCCAGCCCCTCTGTGCCGCACAGGAGAGGAGCCCTGCTCTGGCGGGGGGGGGGGGGGGTGCTGTCGGGAGGTGGGGTTCTGTGAGCAGGGGGCAGGTTGGAAATTGAATGGAGGAATGCCCTCCTGTGTCTGGGATCCACCTCTTCCATTTTTGCCGCGGGGATGAGACCTTTGGGCCTGGTGCTCCGTCGGTGCTGGTGGTGAGCAGGTGTGTGTGTGTGTGTGTGTGTGTGTGTGTGTGAGAGTGAATATGCCTAAATGTTAGATGAAGCTTGGCAGGTGTTTCCGGGCCCACCCACCTCCCTGGGCCACCTGCTCCGGCAGCCCTCCCACCGCAGGTGCCCACAGCTTCTCTGGCCGAGTCCCCGGGCCTCCGCTAGCCCCTCGGATCCACTCAGCCAGGCACCGGGCAGCCCGGAAAAGAGGGTGTGGGTGGCCCCCACCCAGGGGGACAGGAGGTGGGACCGATGCCCAGCCCCCTTCCTCTGAGGCACGCTCTGGGTGATGAAGGGACTCCCTGGGAGCCCTCGAGGGGGTTGCGCACCTGCCCACAGCGATGACCAGCTCAGTCACACGCCTGTCTGTGGCTCTCGCCTTCCCTGCCCCCCTTCCTGCTATCTGGGTGCCCCAGAGACACACTGCACCCTGTCCGTGGCTCAGCCTCAGGCCGGGCCCAGACCAAGGCAGCAGGGTGGTATTAGGTGTGGAGCTAAGACCCCACACGAGAGGCAGCGGCTGGTCACTCAGGACACTGCAGCAGGGGGCAGCCACCTCTCGCATTTGGCAGAGACCCCAAGACTGCAGAGGGGTCCCAACGCTTCCTAGTGGAGGGGAGGGGCCAGGGGTCCTGATGGAGCTGGGGGTCGGGGGCAGGCTGGGCGGCTACTAGAAGGGGGTGTCCCAGGTGACAGGCAAGGGGAGCGGGTGTAGCTTTCTCGAGCTGGCCCTGAGTGGGAAGTGGTTCGGCCCACTCGGATCTCTGCCTGGCAGGCCCCGGTGCCGCCTGCAGCTCCGCCATCTACCCGGCTCCCCCTCACGCTGCCCTTTCTCCCTGGCAGAGAGCTGGCCCCCCGCCCCGGGCTCCCCACCGGGCTCTGCCTCTTGGGTTGTCACTGACACTCACCCACTGTCTGCACCCCCTGGGCCCCGTGTCCCACACCTGACCTCTGTAGGTACTTTAGGAGGGTGTGATTGGGAAGCACACGGCCCCGCCTGGACCCCAGGAGCCCCTAGTCAGGCCCCTGACCGGTCATCCCGACCTGTCCCTACCTGGGTTTCCAGCACCTCGGTACCCATCCGGGTGTGTCTGGGGCACAGCCACGATATTCAGGCTGCTGTCCCCAGACAGGGGACCTGAAGACAATTCGCTGGGTGTCCTTGCTGGGGGTCTGCCCCGCTCACCAGGTGGGGTTCTAGGCCCGGAGAGCGCGGAGCACTGCAGGGGAAGGGCTGTCCTTGAGGAGAGTGCACACAGGGGTGGGGGCGGGGCCCTCGTTGGGGGTTGGTTATCCAGTTCCCACTGGTCCCCGAGGAGAGGAAGACAGTGTGTGCCCCACGCCCCTGGGACTGTGCTGGCGAGGTCGGGGCCCTGAGCCCTCGTACCTCTGCTGGCCGACCGCTAACGGGGCTCCTCTTCCTGGCAGTGTCGGAGCCCCCGGCGCACAGCGCCCTGGAGAAGCCGCCGGGCACCGCCATCCTCTGCACCACCTGCGGGGCCGTGTGCCGGGGCGAGGTGCTGCGGGTCCAGAGCAAGTACTTCCACCTCAAGTGCTTCGTCTGCAAAGGTGAGTGTCCGGCCGGCCCCCGAGCCGCCGCCCTCGGCCGCTCCAGACCCCGGGCCGGACAACCCCGAGTCCAGAACCTGCATACGCAGTGTGATCTCCCAGTGTGGCCTGCGCCACTTGTGGTGTGACCGGAATTTGTCGAGGTGGGGTCGGAGGACGGGGTCCAGGTCCCAAGGCGTGTCCTCACCCAGCTGCACCAGCGTCCGAGGACTCAGGCCCAGGGCCAGAGGCACAGGTGGGTGTTGGCGCCCTGACGTCAGCCCTGTGGGTACACGGCCTCTGCCGGCCACACGGGCCCCCGCTGGGAGGAGGTGAGAACATTCCGATCCGGTCCAAGGGGAATGGCCTCTATTTCCTCTGATTGTGAAACGCAGCGTGAGTGATGTGCTACATTCAGGTGACACCAGAGAGGAGACGAAATGGAACCAAACTCGTGCGCAGAGCGGCCATCGGCCCGCCGCGGGCCCCCGCCTGCCTCTCCCGGGAGCGGACCCCTGGGCATCCGTCTGCCAAAAAATCTGAACAGTGGCATTTGGGGGACGAGAGGCAGATCAAGTCAGTGTGGCACAGCCTCAAGCACACAGGGATGCAGGTTTTTTTTAACGTTTTTATTGATTTTTTTTTTTTTTTTAGAGAGAGAGAGGAAGGGAGAGAGACATAGAAACATGGATGTGAGAGAGAAACGGATCGGCTGCCTCCTGCACGCCCCCCACTGGGGATCGAGCCTGCAACCCGGGCATGTGCCCTGAGCGGAAATCGAACCAGGACCTCTCAGTCCGGGGAACGATGCTCAATCCACTGAGCCCCCCGGGCCAGGCAGGGTGGCAGTTGTAAAGGAGTCATATTAACGATGCTGGGTGCACGTCTGCCTCTCTGCAGGGCGTGGGGCCGCCCGCCTGGCGTGCTGGGTCGGAGAGGGTGACCTGGGCGGTCGGGGCTGCACGCCACACCCACCGCAATGACCCGGGTGACCCCAGGGAGCCTGAGGCCTTGCTTTTCGGGAACAGACGAGATTGGGACAGGTGACGGAGTGACGTGGTTTGTGGGCACCGTGTGGCCCCATCCTGGCACCGCAGGCTGCGTTCACCCCACAGGGGCTCGGAGGCCCCCTGCAGGCCGGGCCGGGTCAGGCTCTCGAAAGACCAGGACGGGCAAGCTCAGCTTTGCGGGTGCTGAGGCCGAGACCACAGCAGCTAAGGGGCGCCGCTGGGAAAACTCTCTTTCCACGCGCGGGCGGGGGCCCCAGGGAGGGGTCGGAAGCTTCCAGAGAGGGCATCAGAGAGGCGGTGTGGGCTCTAGGCTGGAGAGAGAAGAGCCCACCCTCAGAGGGGCCCGCGGGCCGGGTGCAGGGAGACAAGGCTGGGCCTGGAGGGGCGTGTGACTCCCCACGAGATGGGCAGCGGGGCTGGAGGGTAGGAGCTTGTCCAGGGCTGATCCCAGGCCTGCCCGTGGCCCCCGCCCCCAGAGGGCCCCTACCTTCAGCCACCAGGCACCGTCTGGTCGTGACTCGGCTGGTTCGTCAGGTGACAGTCCGGGGACGGTCCAGGGACGGGCCTGGTGCTGCTGGCCCTGGAGGGGGTCACAGTGCACAGGGCGGACACTGGGGCGGCCGGCGGAGGCCTGTGACTTAGAGGGACCGTGGGCACTACTCAGGACCCCCCCCCCCCCGCCCCTCACAAGTGCTGCCCGTCGATCTGTGCGCTGGGTGGCTGTCAGGGACGTCACTGAGGGTCACTTGATGCCCCTGAGTTTTCTGGACCCAGGGTTCTTGGCACATCAACAGCCTGGCTTGTCCCTGGTGAACCCTCCCCACCACACCAGTGCCCCCAGCTACCCCAGTATTTCCACGAAGGCTGCTGCAGTCCTAGCCACAGGGACACGTATGTTACTGAAAAGCATAGTCCAGTAGGTTGCTCTTTGTAAACGCTTCTTTGAAAAGACAGAGCACGTGCGCTGTATTTAAAAGGTTGTCCGCACGCGCAAACCTGAGCGGCAGAGACTCCTAGGATTGAGTCCGTCACCTGGTCTGACCCGCAGGGTTTGGTAGGAGGGGAACTGCCCAGGTGCCCCTCCCCACGTGTCCCTGGGGCAGATCACTGTCCTCGGGGGTTCTCCGCCGGTGGCACCTCGCTTCACCTGCGCAGAGAGACTGGGAGCAGCAGAGGTTTCCTGCAAGCAGGGGAATTCCGTCGTCAGGTTGGTCTTTGATCCAGGCTCTCATGCAAATGCAAAGCCGAAAATCATCGAGGGTGCTTTTGGGTGAATAGAAAGAACGCCCAGCCCAGAATGCCGTAAGCACCATGGATACTTACCCTCTTAACATGACGCTTGGAGTAGTCCCTCACCCTCAGAGTCGGTTAATGTAATGGCTCAACAAGGTCATCAAAGACCCAGGCTCTTTCTCCACTTCCCCACCCCCACCTTTCCCTTCTCCCCCCTCATCCTGCGCAAGCCAGCAGGGCCTCGCCTCATGGTCTCAAAGTAGCTGCTGCAGCTCCAAGCATCACAACCTCACAGGGTGGCACTCCACTCTGGGGAAGGAAGGTGCATGAATGAAGGGGCCCTCTCCCCACAGGATGCTCTCTCTCTCTCTGTCTCTTGTTAATCCTCACCAAGGATAGCTTCCCATTGCTTTTTTTTTTTTTTTAGACAGAGTAGAAGGGAGGGAGAGAGAGAGTCATCGATGTATGAGACACACATTGATTGGTTGCCTCCCACACAACTCTAACTGGGATCAGGGATCGAACCTGCAACACAGCTACATGCCCTTGACTGGGAATTGAACTCATGACCCTTAGGTCCTCTGGCTGATGCTCTAACCGCTGAGCCACACCAGCCAGGACATGATGCTCTCTTTGATCAGGAGGGGGACCCTTTCCCTGAGGCCCCCACAGACTTCCAGTGTGATCTGTTGGCCGGAACTGGGCCGCCGGTCCACCCTGACCAGCATGGTGCCAGTTGAACTGGAGCGGGTCTGTTAGCTCAGAGGACGGCGGTCATGCCACCGTCTGACTGACCCGAAGGCCCTGGGGTGTTGGGCTCCTGCCACCTGGTACTTGTTGGACACGCCGCGGTTTACCTGGGAAACTCCGTGACAGAAACGACGAATTATCCAGCCCCGAACTGGGCTTTGATGCCTGAGGTCTGGTCTTCAAAGCCCACCTCTGCCACCTCCGGCTCAGCGGCTCTCTGACACATTTCAGCCTGCTTCATCCAGCAACTCTTCACTGGGCACTTCCGTGTGCCAGCGTGTGCTTGGGATGCATCCACGCACGGACAGACATCCGTGTCCCCGGGGAGACGGTCAACACCGTGAGGACAGATCAGTCAGTTTTATTAAATGCTAGGAAGTGAGGGCTGGAGAGGGGGCGGGGCGGGGTGCCCGGGATCTGCCGCTTCAACACGGGTGACCAGGGACGGCTTCCTGGAGGGCTCGGGGGAGGGCAGAGTGCGGAGGACCCCATCCAGGGCTGTGGAAAGAGTCCAGGAAGCAGGGAAGGGGGTTGCCTGTTGGGGAGGGGAGCCCGCTGGCTCTGCTGTAATTTGGTAACGGGGGTGGGGGGCACGAGGTTGTCCATAGCGACGCCTCCATGTGGGGACTGTGGGGAGCCAGGCCGAGAGGTGCCCGAGTCCACAGGGAACGGTGCGAACCGCCTTCTCGCGCCTTTGGGACCTTCCCGGGGCCTTCATGGGAGAAGCCCAGGGCTCCCGGACCCGGGAAAGCTGCCGCGAAGGTCTGTCCCCGCCGGGCAGGTCGTTCTGCAGCCTGACCCAGGCAGGGCCGCCAGGACCCGGGTCCCCTGGCAGAGCCGCGGAAAGTCACGGCAGGAGGACTGTGCATGACGTGGCCTGTCACCCAGGCGGAGAGTGGAGGCGAGGTCCGGACAGGCCTGGGGCAGCACAGCCACGCAGCCCGGCCAGCTCGTCCCCCTCGGCGCTCGAACCCCTGGTCCCTGCTTGCTCTGTGTCGTTATGTCCTCCGCCCGCCGATACAGGAGCACCCCACCACCCGCACTGCCGTTGGCCCTGGGCTCCCAGCCCTGCCCGCTGGCCGGGCTGCCAGTGTCTCCCATGAGGCCACACACGTCCGCAGCCCGCACACTCCCCTCGCGGGCGGCGGGGCCCCCGACAGCTCCTCCCCATCCATCTTCACCTCTGCCCCCGTTCCTCTGTCTAATGCAAGGCCCCTGGACTTGGCCACCTCTCTGCTGCCGGACATCCATCCCGCCTGGGCACCTGCTCATCGGTTCCCCAAACCTCACCTCTGATTTCTTACCACACCCGTGCCCGATGGGCATGGTGAGCCCCATTTTACAAATGAAGACTCAGGTTCAGAGAGGTTAAGTGACTTGGCCACGGACACACAGCTGGGGGAACAGGATGGGCACTCAGGGTCCGCCCAGCTGCTCCGCAACCCGTCGACTCGGTGGATCTGAGGACAACAGATGTAATAACAATATGTTGTCTTCATTAGGATGTTAACGTATTACTGAACTTGGGCTTGGACTCGTAGCAGGCAGAGGTCTGGGTCTGACAGTCCGGCCCGGCCTCAGTGAACGTGGGCAGCCAGGGTCCACCGGAAGGGGTGCGCCCCCCGCTGGCTCTCAGGGCAGGTGTGACAGGAAGCTGCCTCCTTCCCTGTCCTCGCGCCCGGTGATGGACACGCACTGCAGTGGGCCACGAGGTCCCTCTTCATGTCGTCATCCTGCCGGGAGCAGCCAGGCCGTCACGCCCACGTGAACAGACAGCCGGAAGCCGGAGGCGGGGTGTCCAGGAGCCGCTGCTACTCAAAGGCTCCCTTGAAAAACCCTGTAACCCTTGTATGTTTTTGCATCGACATCTGAACGTTTTCATCAAACCAGTAACTGATGGCAAAGGCGGACTGGCCCTGTCATGGTGCTGGGCTGTGGGCGTTCTGGGGGCCACCCGCAGGGAGGTGGGGCCGGGCAGGGTGCTCCCTCCGAAGCCGTGCCTGGCTCCCCCGTGCCCCTGGGGGGGGGCGTGGGGGTGAAGGCTCAGGGTCCCGGTGCTGAGTGGCCGGCTGTCCCAAGGGCAGGTGCCCTGTTCTCCCCCTGGAGAGCCCCCCAGCCCTCCATGGGGCGCGCCGTGCAGCCTCCCGGGGCAGGAGGTGTGTCGGAGTCAGGGCACAAGAGGATTCATGGGCAGGTCCTGCCTCGTTCTCTCCTGCAGGGGGCTGGCCTGTCCGCAGGGTGGGAAGAGGGAGTGTGGGAAGCCCCACCGTGGTCTGGGAGGCCGACCACAGGGCTCCACCCGTCTCCTGCCACACGGGGTCTCCCGCCCAGAGCAGAGCCTGGGGAAGTGTAGGTTCCTCCTGACCCATTCTGTCCACGCTGGGGACAGGAGCCTGGATCAGCGGGGGGCTGGGGCGTCAGCGCTTCACCTTGAGGGGGTTTCCAGAGCGAGGGGGGGAGGCTGGTGGCCCCTCAGCACAGCCTGGTGTCCTCCCAGGTCCGTGCCCCTTTCTAGAAGCTTCCACAAGGAAGTCTACTCGACTCCAGGCTGAGGGACTGGAGCAGGAGCTGGTGCCTGGACCTGCCCCCCCCCCCCCGACCCCGAGGTTTTCCGTGAGCCCCCGAGCCAGTGGGGGGGGATGGGGCGGGTCCACGGGGGCTGTGGGACCGGGGAGATGGTCCCTGCCTGCCCCACGGGCCTCCCGTGCTCCCCAGTGTGTGGCTGTGACCTGGCGGAGGGCGGCTTCTTCGTGCGCCGGGGCGAGTACGTCTGCACGCGCGACTACCAGAGGCTGTACGGCACCCGCTGCTTCAGCTGCGACCAGTTCATCGAGGGCGAGGTGGTGTCGGCGCTGGGCAAGACCTACCACCCCGACTGCTTCGTGTGCGCCGTGTGCCGGTGAGCGAGGCCCCGCGCCCTGCTCCCTCCCGGGCCGCCTGGCCCCTCCCTGCCTCCCAGCGGGTCACAGCCAGAGGGAAGGCCGGCCAGCCAAGGGGTGGCCGGTGACCCTGGGCGTCCACACACCCTGCCTTGCTCCCCATGTCCCCGCGCTGTGTGTGGCACCACCACCCAGCCCGCCAGGTGCATGAGCCCCAAGCATGACATCTTCCAAGGTCCCTCCCTTTCCATACTCTGCCCAGCCACGGTCCCCGCTCAGACCCTGCCACAGTGTCCATGCGGGGTCCCTTCCCCCTGCTTGTGGCTGTGTGCACTGTCCCCTGGCCCCCAGGCTTCTTAGCCTGGCTGAGAGGGGCTCCCCAGTCCACTCCAGTCCACTCGGCCAGGCTTTCCTGAGCGTCTGTGCAGACCAGGCACCATGCCCCAGGCGTGTCTCAGCAGAGGTGCCACAGGGCTCAGACCTAGAGACACTGCAGGCAGAGGAGGGGCCTCCCAGAGCCCTTCCCCCCAGAGCAGCTCCCTGCCCAGCCCCACTGTGTCCTGCACTGACGCTCTCCTGGGCCCTGACTTCTCTAGCAAGGAGCCCTGGGTGGGCAGGGCTGGTCTGACTCCCGTCTGGCCTGGCTGCCTGGCACAGCGCAGGTGTGTGGTGGCGGATGCTGGAGGGAGGCCAAGAAGCTGGCCCTCGGCGGCAGGGACACACGGGCTTCCCTCTCTGCCCTGCACCCCCAGGGTGTAGCAGGGACACAGCCTCTCTCCCTCCTTCCCTCCCCAGCCAGACACTTTGCTCCTGGGGGGGATGTTCCATTTCTGGGAAACAAGAATAAAATCTCCGAGTTTATTTGCTGTCTTCCCTCTGTCTCACCCAGTTTAACAGGGACCTTTGAGTGTTGTTCCCAAAGCACTAGGCAGAAATGGGAGCTTTGTCAGGGGGATGTGGAGAGAGGGAGGAACAATGACAAGGGACCTTTCCAGTGAGTCACCATGTGTCGCTGCAGTGGGCGTGGGTCAGAGCCCCCAGGCCTGTCTCGGCATTTGACTTGAGATGAGGGTTGACATCACAGTGGGTTTGAAAGATCACCTCTGGATAATCTGCTATTTTAAGAATAATAGCAGGCAGCTCAGTCATGCTGGGACTGAACCTACCCATCCACTATAAACAACCGGAACACCAGACAAAATATACAAAACAACTCTTTTCAGACAGCGCTGGCAGCGGAGGACTGAGCGTGGGTGGACCGAGTAACGGAGCCCTGGAATTGCCCAGCTTGCTGCCTGGGCCAAGCAGGGACCACTGGGCATGGCACTCTCATTAAGTAAGGAGACGGTGATCTGAGAGACAGCTATGCCGCCCAAGATCTCCAGAGGGCTTTGGAGTGGGGCCGCTGAGCCTTTGACTAATACAGAGCCATGTAGACATAGAGGAAATTTCACAGGGTGAGGCAAAGGATGAGTAGGATGCTGTAAGCTAAGCAGTTCCCAGGACTGGGAGGCATTGGGTTCTGGCCAGGAGGACAGCCCATGCTGAATCCCCATGCACACAGCAGGGCCACCAGAAGGGCCATGCCTCATTGGTGGGACTAAGCCCCAGGACAAAGGCTTCTATACACCTGCCCTGACCAAGTACAAGAATAAACCTCCAAAAGGTCAGGCTGATCCACAGACCAGGTACCTACTTGTCAAATCAAAGTCCAGCACTCATTGTAGGTGGGAAAGAAAATCCAGCACTCGACAACATAAAATTGACAACGTTCAACATTCAATCAAATACTACTGTTCATAAAAAGAAGTGGAAATGTGGCACGCAGCCAGAAGAGAAGTCAGCCCGTCACAATGGACCCAGAAAGGGGAGCAACAGTGACACCCAGACAGTGATGTTAAAACAGCTACTGTTAATATGTCTAGGTATTTAAAGGAAACCGTGAACATGAGTAAGAGTGCCACAGAAGATGTTTAAAGAAACCAGATGGAATTTCTGGACGTGAACATGACAGTGTCTGAAGTGAGAAATTCCCTGGAAGGAATTAGCAGTGGATTAGGTTTTGCAGAGGAAATGACTGGTGAACTTGAAGACATAACTACAGAAACTATTCAACTACAGCAAAGAGAGGAAAGAAGACTGAAAATATGAAGAGAATCCTAGTGAAATGTGAGTATAGATCTAGCTTAGGTTAGGAGGGGGAGACCCAGGGGATGGGAGAAGACTGAAATAATTTGAAGAAATAAAAGCTGGACATTAATAAAGGCTGGAAAATGTCCAAATTTCATGAAAGCTATAAACTCGTGGTTTCAAGAATCTCAGTGAACCCCAACCAGAATACACACAGCAAACACCTGCCAATTCTATTGTGATCAAATTTCTGAGAAACAGTAATTAGAAGGAAATTTTCAAAGCAGCAACCCACACATTATTTACAATGGAATAAAAGAATGACTGCAGACTTCTCATCTGAAACCGTGTGCACCAGAAGAAAATAGAACAGCATCTTTTAAGAGCTGAAAGAAAAAAATTGCTCAAACAATTCTATACCAAACCGAAAAACACTAAAAAATGAAGGCAAGACTGGTAACGAGTATGCATTCTTTTTGAGGATGATAAAAACGTCCTCAGACTGATTGTGGGGATGGTTACACAACACAGAAACATTTGAATGGTAGGTGAATGTTAGAGCGTAGGTGAATAAAAGTGTCAATAAATGTGAAGGCAAATGAAGGGCTTTGTAGGCACACAAAAGCTAAGAGAATTTGTTGCCAGCAGCCTCACACCTACAACAAAGTTACAGGAAATTTTGTAAGCTGAAGAAAAATGTCAAAAGACATCAAGAAGATGCAAAAGCAAGTCATGAGCTGATGGATAATATATATCTGATGAAGGGCTCGTGTCCAAAATATATAAAAAAGTTCTACAAGTCAATAATAAGACAAAAAAAAGAAAACGCTATAAAAAAAATTTAAATCCTATTTAAAAAACAGATACTCCACATAAGAATATATCTGAATGACCAGTAAACACATAAGAATATATAGGAATGACCAAGAAACACATAAGTATATATGAATGACTAACACAAAATAAATATATGAATGACCAATAAATATATAAGAAAATATACGAACGACCAATAAACACATCAGAATATACATAAATGGCCAATAAACACACAAGAATATATATATGAACAACCAGTAAACACATAAGTATATATATGAATGGCCAATAAACACATAAGTATATGTGAATAACCAATAAACACATAAGTATATGTGAATAACCAATAAACACATAAGAATATACATGAATGACCAGTAAACACATGAAACAGGCTGGACGTCATCAAGGGAATGCCAATTAGAACTATGGTGAGATGCCATTGTGGAGCCACTGGAGTGACTAAGACTGAGAGATGGATAGGGTCGAATGTTGGTGAGGATGTGAAGCAAGAGGAACTCTCCTACATTCCTGGTGGGAACACAAAATGGTACAGCCCCCATGAAAACCAGTTTGCCACACACACACAGTTAGCATCTGACCCAGAACCTGCAGCCTTTGGGTTCAGTGAGAGAAATGAGCACATGTTCAACAGACAGATTGTCAGCAAGCAGCCACAGTGCTTCACCTGTCACAGCCCCACCCTGGGAAGAACCCAGATGCCGGCAGCAGTGACTGGAACATGTGTTTGGCCCATCCATGCCGAGGAACACTACCGGGCGATAAAAAGGTGCAGCTTGGTGTGTGCAGCTGCGTGAACGAGTCTCAGAAACGCAGTGCTGAACAAGACATCCAAGACCACGTGCCGTGGGATTCCATTTATATGAAGTTCCGGAAAAGCAAATCTAATCCCTCGCAACAGAATGTTGATCCTGGTTGCCTGGGCCAGGGTGGTGGCGGGTGATTGTAGATGATCAAGGGACTTTGTTCAGTGGACAGAATGCCCCACATCATGACTGTGGAGTTGTTCACATGAGCGTGTACACTAGTCAACATACACTGCAGTAATGTTGAGTTAAATGATAGCTGCCTTTTATTCAGCCCCTCCTGGACCCAAGATAGTATGTTTGATGGATGGGTGGGTGGGTGGGTGGATGGCTGGCTGGCTGGATGGCTGGCTGGCTGGCTGGCTGGATGGATGGATGGATAGGTAGATGGATGGATAGGTAGATGGATGCATGGATGGATGGATGGATGGATGGATGGATGGATGGATAGATAGATAGGTGGATGGATGGATGGATGGATGGATGGATGGATGGATGGATGGATAGGTAGATGGGTGGATGGATGGATGGATGGATGGATGGATGGATGGATGGATAGGTGGATGGATGGATGGATGGATGGATGGATGGATGGATAGGTAGATGGGTGGATGGATGGATGGATGCATGGATGCATGGGTGGGTAGGTGGATGGATGGATGGATGGATGGATGGATGGATGGATGGATAGGTGGGTGGATGGATGAATGAATAACAACCCTGTGACACAAGTGTTATAAGTCCCATTTTATAGGTGAGAAACAGGAACTCAGAGAGGCTAAGTAAATTGCTTTGAGTCACACAGCCAGCCAGAGACTTGCTCAGGACACATTCGGGGGTGGTGAGGGACTCCCACTCTGGCCAGGATCAGCAGGCCAGCTGCAAGACAGGAAGACGGAGGGAGGCAGAGCACACACTGAGCACAGGGCATCAGACAGCCAGGAAGGCTGCAGGCCAGCAGAAGCTGGGAGGCATTCACTTGTTCATGCCCTCACTCTCTCATTCATTCATTCATTTAACGATGACCCATTGAGCGCCTGGAATGTGCCGAGTGCCGTCCAGCTCTGAAGGAGGCAGAGAGGAGACAACAAAGGCTTAAGCCCGAGGACAGAGCACGTCCCGGGTCCAGAGAACGCAGGTTCCCTGGCCAGGCTGAGCTGGGAAGGAAGTGGCCCATGGCTGCAGGGAGCTCAGTGGCAGCAGGTGGCGGGGATGGAGGTGTCCACAGGTGGCCTGGTCGTAGCTCACCAGGCAGCAGCCACCTTACCATCTCTCAGTCACCAAAGGAGAAGTTTGGGGCTGCAGGGGGTGGGCCGGCTGTCTGCTGCCCCTCCAGGCAGCCCCGGGCTATGGCCTTGCCTTGGATCAGGCCTGGATGGAGGGACCCTGCAGCTCCTGTCCGGGGGGTCCCAGGGGGAGGTGATGGTGTGCGTCCCGGCTGGGGCTCCCCTCGCCCCTGGAGAAGAGCAGAAGGTGGCCCGGCTTGTAACTCATCCTCTTGTTCCAGGTTGCCCTTCCCACCTGGGGACCGAGTGACCTTCAACGGGAAGGAATGTATGTGCCAGAAGTGTTCCCTGCCCAAGTCCGTGGGCAGCAGCACGCACCTGTCCCAGGGCCTCTGGAGTAAGTGGGCGCTGAGTGGCACTGACCGGAGGTGGGGGTACATAAGGGAGGAACGAGGACAGAAATCTCTGGTGCGCTCGTGCCGCTGAGCCTTTGCCAGGCTGTGCCCACTACCCTGTGTGCCACTCCTGCTTTTACATCCAACTCCCATCCTGCTTCTGGCTTAGCTCTGGCCTCCCCCCTCCAGGAAGCCCTCCTGGCCTACTTGTCCTCACCCTCGAGCTCCCTCAGCTCCCCACAGTTAGCTCCAGGCCATCTGGAAGCGCTCCGCGAGAGCCTCTGAAAGAGCACGAGTCTGGGCTCCTGCGGCCGGGGCTCCACTCCAGGAGCCTGGCCAGGGTGGGTATGCAGTAGGTGCTCCATACTTGCTTCTTGCATGAGGAAGCTGGACAGTCTTCCTGTGGATGCGTGAGCGCCAGCTGGCTGTGGGTGTAGGGGAGCAGGCGGGCGCTGGCCTTCCCCAGCGTGGGTGGCTCTGCCAGGGCCAGGCTGGCGCAGGGGCTGGGCAGGCCCAGGGCTCCGGGCCCTGCTGCTGTCAGTATCCGGCTGCAGAAGCGGGGCTCTCGGGTCCGGCCCTGCAGGGTCCCAGTGCCAGGGCCACACGTCCTGGGACAGAGCAGGCGTTCCTACTGATGTCCAGAGCCAGCCCCTTGCCCCCGTCACCGTCTCCCGCCCACTGTGGTGCCCACTCAGTCACGCATGCGCACGTCACTCGCCAAGTGGCCCTGCCAGCCTGTGTGGGCGGATGCAGGGCAGCCCCTCTTCCCTGGGGGCCCCGGATCTCGGGCTTTGAGTCTGTCTTTTGGTCGCCTTCCCCAGTTGCCTGTGGATTTGAACAGTGGGATAATTTAGGAAAGCCGGAGCTCGGCCGGCAGCTCTGGGGACAGTCTGGCTCCCGTTAGAGGACACACCTGCGGCCCAGGCCCAGCCGCTCGGCCTCTGGCAGGCGGGGCCTCCCTCTGCCCGGCTCCAGGCCCGGCTGCACTCGCTCAGCGCTCAGCCACGCGGGAATGAACTCTGCGGCTTCTTTTCCACATGCTTACACCCGCCGTCATGTAACACGGTCTCACAGGCACCCCCAGCGGGACTGCCCCTCTGCCCACGCCCCGGGGACACTCAACGGCTCTCGTGGAGTCGGAGACCCAGCGGCGAGGCCCCCACTCCTCTTGGCCCACGGCCACCACGTCTGTGTTCTCTCCCAGGTTGTGAGGGCTGCGGCACAGAAATCAAAAACGGCCAGTCGCTGGTGGCTCTGGACAAACACTGGCATTTGGGCTGCTTCAAGTGCAAGGCCTGTGGGAAGGAACTGAACGCCGAGTACATCAGCAAGTGAGTGGGGACCGCGGGCCGGGCCCTCCTCCTTGTCCCCCGGGCCGCGTCTCTGCGTTTCTCCGGTCCGCTGTCCGACAGGGAACCCCGCTGGGCCTGGCGTGTGCCCCACAGCCGGGCACCCTCTCCCCACCCGCCTGGCCCCTTACATGGTTCGCAGAGACTCCAGCTCTGTTGTTGATGGAAGCAGACGCCACGCTCCCGTCTCTGGTCCTGTAACTCGCCGCTTTGCGCCCATCCCATGGTCACCTCCCGGGAGTCCGCCCCCTGCCGGCAGCAGGCTCTCCTGCAGATACAAAGTGGTGTCAGCTGATGCCTGCCGCAGAGTGAGGGAGGGCAGGCTGACCAGCCTCAGTTGTCACGGGTGACACCTCAGCCCAGCGCTCAGACCTCTCTCCAGTACAGCCCTCGGGCAGCTCCCACTGGCCGACTGTGTTCTCAGGGTGCCGGGACGGCTGGCTCGGGGGGGGGAGGCTTCTGGGAGACCGTGGCCCTGCACGGGGCCCAGGTTTGCCTGAGCTCCGCGCACAGACAGGTGAGCCACAGTCGGCATGGGGAGGGAAGAGCGGAGGGTGCAGTGAGCAGTCCCAGGCTCAGCAGAGCCCAGTGAGGGGCTCTTTGGGCAACTTGCATGCGATGCTGTGCTAGTTCTGACCCCCAGGGAACAGAGCTGTCCCAGGAACTGATTGGGTTCAAAACGTCCTTCGGTAACACTGCATAGAATGAAACACATGCACACACACACGCACACGCACACGTACATGTGAGCGCATGTCACACCGGGGAATTCGAGTCAGGTTGCAGGGGGAGCCGTATCCCTTCCCGGGTGACCTTTACTCGAGTCCTGCAGGCCGCGGGTGTGGGCTGTCTGTGTCCTTTCAGCCGCGTGTAGCTCTAGTTATTTCAAATCCGCGTTCTCAGTGGGGGCCCCTCTGTGAGGCTGGAGCGGGCGGGGTGAGCCTCCAGCCCCTCGAGACCTGCGGCCCGGTCACCGTGAAGAAAGGGGTGACGGGAGGCAGCCTGGTGGACGGGGCACGTTCGATGTGCTGGACGCCCAGCCCCCAGGGCACCGCGTGGCGCACGTGGCAGCTGGCCCACGCTGCCTGCAGTTACTCAGCAGCCTCCAGGCTGTCCCAGAATTGAGGAGGAGGGTGCGTTGGTGTTGCCATGGAGATGTTATCTCTGAACCTCCAGGGTTTGCTGCAGACACCCCTTCTCAGGGAGTGCATGGGTCCTGAGAGCAGCGGCATTTGCAAGTGTCTCCTCTTGTCCTGTGAATGCAGGACTTCACCCCCCACCCCAGCTGTGCGGGCAGAGCTCCCCCCCCAGCTGTGCGGGCAGAGCCCCCCCGCAGCTGTGTGGGCAGAGCCCCCCCCCCCAGCTGTGCGGGCAGAGCTCCCCCCCCCCCGGGCTGTGTGGGCAGAGTGCAGGGCTGTCCAGGGGCCTGTCACCCCGCAGCAGGCCCCCCCCCCCGAAGGCCCCCAGTGACCCAGAGAAGGGCGATCTATCGCTGTAATAATTGCGGTCGCTTTTATACGCGCCCCAGCGGTGGCAGCCGCTGCCCCTGGCGCTGGGCCCGGCATCTCCCCGTCCAGGGCCCGCACCCTGGCTGTTTCCTGCGGCTCCTTCCTTCGGGGTCCGAGGCTAAGCGAGTTGCCCAGGCTGCCCAAATACCAGCAGCAGTGCCCCAAGTGGTGTGTCATTCGTCACTAACTCCCCGCTGCCCCCACCGGCACGCTGCACGCAGACCTGCGGCAGGCGGCCCTCACTGCGGCCCGCTCCTCCCTGCTCCTCCCCGCGCAGCCCAGGCCTCTGCCACCCTCCGCCGCGTCACATCTGCCGCAGGCACCGTGTCCCACACGCCTTCCGGCTCACCTTGCTCCAGGGCGCCCAGAGCCCCTGCGGAAGGAGCAGGGTCCGCCCAGGAGGGGCCCTCGGCGTGGACCTGGGCAGGATGACCCCGGGAAGAGCCTTGTCTGTGGGAACTTCTTTCGGTTCCCAGATGCGACTTCTGTTCCCTTGGCTCAGCCTCTCCAGGCGCTACCGGCCCTTCCCTCTGCCGCTGGGCAGGTGGCCCCAGCTCTCTGCGCCTCGGCTTCTCCATCCATGAAATGGGTCCATCCTCACGGTCTCTCGCAGGGCGATGGAGGAGGCCGTGCTCATGCCTGTGGACGCTGAGGGTGGCCCTGTGACTTGGAGGAGGAGGAAGGGCACTTGTGCCCCTTCGACAGCCCCTCTCAAGGGTGCTGGGTGTCAGGTCTGGGGGAGCTGGGGTGACTGCCCGTCCTGACTGCCTGGCTCGTTGCAGGGACGGGCTGCCCTACTGCGAGGCCGACTACCATGCCAAGTTCGGCATCCGCTGTGACGGCTGTGAGAAGTACATCACGGGGCACGTGCTGGAGGTGAGTCCCTCCCGGGCGGGTGCTGGGCACCTTCCCCGGGGGAGCAGAGGGGCCTCAGGGGGCCCGAACGTCCTGTGTGTTTGTGCAAGAATCTGCCAGAGCCCTTGCCGCCTCACCCCCCGGCTCCGCCAGGGCACGCCGGGAGAGGGTGCCCCCTCCTCCAGGAAGCCCTCCTGGCCGCTCTCTCCGTGCCCTTTTCAAGTCGAGAGAGCCGGAGAGGTGGGGAGGACTGGAGACCCTGCGTCCTTCGAGTTCGGATGGGGAGCCTGAAGCCTGGAGGATTTAAAGTGAGCACAGGAGGCAGGACTGCGTCCCCCAGGGCGGACAGAGCGGCCCCTGGCAGGCCCGGCAAAGAGCATTTCCAGGGGGGTCTCCTGGCACCGCCCTGAGCTTCCTGACCGCGGTGGTCACGTGGGCGTCTCTCCCTGTGGGAATAGCACATGGTGTGCACTTTCCTATTTGTTCAGTGAGACGCCCCTGGGATGGCTAGAACGAACCCCACCCTCCCGATGCCCAGGCCAGCCCGCCCTCCACCTCACTCTGCAACCCTCCTCGGCTCTGTGCTGGGGCGGGTGACGGGTGGACCCCCGGGGCTGTCCATGGTCCCTGGGGGGGCACAGGTGACTGGAGGACCTCAGAAAGGGCAAGGGGCTGAGCACTGGGAGGGGAGGGGCCCTGACCCAGCCGAGGTGCCAGAAGCAGCCAGTGGGGGTGAGGACAGGCTGGGGGTTGAGGCTGTTAGGTCCCCCTGTCCTCCCAGGGGATGCCTGGGTTCTGTTAGCATGGTAAGAGCCCCATGGGCAGCGCCAGGCTGGCTGGAGGGCTGGGCTGGCAGACAGGGGTGGGCATTCCCCTGGCGTCTCCAAGGACCGGCGCCGCCCCAGCTGGTGCCCAGCGGCAGCAGGGTTCTGAAAGCCCAGTGGAATGCCACCTGGAGCTGCCCACCCTTAAACCTGACCTCCAAGCAGCAGGGCGCATTAGAGGGGCCTCGTGGGCACCTCCCCGCCGCCCCTCAAGCGGGCTGGCAGGGAGGGGTGAGGGAATGGCATGGCGGGCACCGTGGGAATGCCCAGCTCAGCCTGCAGCCGCGCCCTGCGGGTGGCCTGCTGGGGGCCTGACTCCAGGCGTGCCACGCGGCGTCCGCACAGCTCAGATAAGGGCAAGTCACCACGAGCGCCACCCAGTGCCCTGCTCCTGGGCCGGTTTTGTCCACTTTCCTCTCTCCATGTGGTCGTAGCTGATTCCAAACATTTGTACGACATTATGTCCTGGTTTTTTCAACTCCCATTTCCTTGGTAATAGATTCCCGAGGTTTTGTTTCTTGTATCATGGGTTTTTTATTTTTTTAACATAAAAATAGTGAAATGTCTATTCTCTCAGACAAAGCGGTGGGGAAGAGGGACTCGACATGGTTCGATCCCGCGTCCACTGGCCGGGAGCAGAGCCGGTGTGGGGCCTCCTCCGCGGGTGCTGCCTGGTGAATGGGCACCGGCTGGGCTCCCGGGTCACGTCCAGGACTCGGCTCGGCAGGCTTTGGACCCATGAGAGCGTCTCTGCGTCTGTTAGCAGAGAAACAAGGTACCACAGTGACCGTCCGTCTCCAAGCCGCTGAGTCGCCAGTGGGAAGCCAGGCTCTGGATGCTCAGAGAAGAAAGGAGGAAGGGAGACGGGGAGGAAGGGAGACGGGGAGGAAGGGGACACAGGGAGGAAGGGGACAGGGAGGAAGGGGAGGTGAAGAGGAGGGAGGGGGACGGGGGGAGCAGCCTAGGAGCGGAAGGCCTGGAGCAGAAGGTCGCTGTCGGCCAGTCACTACCTCAGTCACAGAAAGCAGGTGGAGAGGCCCTGACACCCACAGCACCTTTAGGTGACATCACAGAATGTTGCTCCTACCTGGACACAAGGGAAGACGAGTTGCCTCCAGGTTTAAGGAGCAGCCAGAGTCCGAACTTATTTGGTTTGTGGGGACAGTCCCGGGCCGGTGGTGAGCAGGCGCTGTTACTGGGCTGGTGATCTGGCCCGTCCTCTGCTCCGGGCTGGTCCCTGAAGAGGACCCGCCTGCCAAGGTCCCGCTGGGCGGCGACCTGTTTGCTGAGAGAGCCCTGGGCCAGCGCCAGGGTTGGTTCTGTGACCTCCCGGTCCTTGGACCCGGACCCCTTTGTTCTGTGTCTTCTGGGCCCCTGATACTCCCGGACGCCCTCCTGCTCTGGGTGAGGGCCTCGTCCTGCCGTCTCTTCGTGGTTTGAGACCTGCCTGTGACGGGCGCTTCTCCCCGTGTTCTCGTTCCCAGCTGCCCTTTCTGCTCCTCTGAGGCCCCAGTTTCATGGATTTGATCTCTCCTACGGGGTTGAACCTGGACTCCGACCTGGGGGTTTCTCCTGTCTGGGCTCCTCTTTGCTTTGAACATGGCGATTGCTCGGGGGGCGGGGCCCTAGCCTCAGGCTCAGCCGCAGGCCCATGCTAGTGGCCTCTACAGAGAGACATCACATCGCTCGCCGCCTCCTGCGCCCCACTGGGGATCGAGCCTGCAACCTGGGCATGTGCCCTGACCGGGAATCGAACCCGGACCTCTCTGTCCATCGGGTGATGCTCAGTCCACTGAGCCACACCGGCTGGGCCATTTTTTTTTTCTTTAAACATAAAGAAAATGGACCTTCCTGCTGAGGAGGTGGGGTGTGCGCAGCTTGGGTGTTTCGGGGTGGGGGGAGTGTGCTGACCTTGGCAAGCCTCTAGCCCATCCTCCTTCCCACTGTGTGTCCTGGGCTCCCCCCGCCCCTCGGGGAGCAGATGCCAAGGACAGGCCTGCGTGCAGGTGGGAGGTGGTGGCCAGGAGTCTTTATACTGGGACTTAGTTCACCTGCCACATAGGTCACCGTTTAGGGTGTGCGGCTCGGCGGTGTGTTCACAGAGCCGTGTCCGTCCCCACTGTCCGTCTCGTTTAGCTGGGACTCCCTCGGCCTGGGCCGGGCCACCAGGAACCTGCAGGCCTTCGGTACCTCCCTGCTGTGGATGTCCCAGGGGAGGCCGGTGGGTGTGGCCCCGGGGTCCTGGGGAGCTAGCCCGCCAGGCTTGGCAGCAGGGCACCGAGATGAGCGGCTGGCTTCACGCATCCCTCGTCTTCCTTCCGGGGCACTCGCAGACCGTAGTCAACGCCGTGAACTCGCAGGGTCCCGGGCCCTCAGAGCGCTCTTCGGAAAGCCGCCCCGATTCGCAGCCTCCGTCTCCGCTGGGAATGACCTGCCGAGGGGCTCGGCCACACGGCGGGAGACATGCAGGGCCTCCCTTGGATTCGCCTCCCCCCACGCAGGCGGTCGCTCTGTCACTCTGGCCGCTGGCAGCCCCCTGAGCTCTGCCTGTTACACACTGGGGCCTCCAGGCTTCTCTGCCTGACTTCTGAGAGCCCGTCCCAGGCGAGAGTGGACGCTGTGTCGTCAGTGTGTCCTGGGTCGTGATCACGTCCCCCGAATGGGGACCAGTGGTGCAGCTCCTGGCACCCGCGGCGGCATCTCACCTCTCTCCCGGGCTGCTCCCCGCCCCCACTATGACCTTGTCTTTCACTTGACAGAGAGAAGGGGTCAGATGTCACTCAGGACTGTCCTCCTGGGCTCACAGTCTGTGAGCTCCCATTTCTACCCTGCTCTTTGCTGCCCTTTCTGCCAAGGACACCTTCCCCCCTGTGCTCAGGGCCTGCCGCTCCCCCCCACACCCCCCTGTGCTCAGGGCCTGCCCCTCCCCCACACCCCCTGTGCTCAGGGCCTGCCCCTCCCCCACACCCCCTGTGCTCAGGTCCTGCCCCTCCCCCCCACCCCTGTGGTCAGGGCCTGCCCCTCCCCCACACACCCCTGTGCTCAGGGCCTGCCCCTCCCCCACAACCCCCTGTGCTCAGGGCCTGCCCCTCCCCCCCACACACCCCTGTGCTCAGGGCCTGCCCCTCCCCCACACACCCCTGTGCTCAGGGCCTGCCCCTCCCCCACAACCCCCCCTGTACTCAGGGCCTGCCCCTCCCCCCCACACCCCCTGTGCCTAGGCCCTGCCCCTCCCCCACACACCCCTGTGCTCAGGTCTGACCCCTTCCCCACAACCCCCACCTGTGCCTAGGCCCTGCCCCTCCCCCCACCCCACCTGTGCTCAGGGCCTGCCCCTCCCCCACAACCCTCACCTGTGCGCAGGTCCCTGCCATCTCCTGCCCTCCCTTGGGCACACACCTCCCATCTCAAAGGCTTTTAAAATACTTCATCACCCCCACTTAAAAAAAACGAAACCTGGCTCAGCTGGTGTGGTTCAGTGGTTGAGCGTTGACCCTGCACCAAGAGGTCGCCGGTTCAGTTCCCGGTCAGGGCACATGCCCAGGTTGTGGGCCCGATCCCCAGTGGGGGCGTGCAGGAGGCGGCCCATCTCGATGTTCTATCTCGTCGATGTTTCTATCTCTCTCTCCCTCTCCCTTCCTCTCTCTCTAACATCAATAAAGAAAAAACAAACAAAACGAAACCTGCCACCTCCCAGGGAGCTGACCCCTCACAGCCAGGTGGCCCCACACAGTGGCCGTCCTTGGGCCTCAGCCACCTGCCATTAGGGACGGAACCTGGGCCCCTCCAGGCCCCTCGCCAGCCCTCCCCGCGCTCAGGCCTGCATGCCCCGCCCTCTCCGGTTGGAGCCTAGCTGACTCAGTTTGTCCCTGGGCCGTGTCCCTCCTGGGAAATGCATGTGGCTCCACAGGCCACCTCCAGACTCAAGAAAGACCCGCCCCTCCCCCACACAAGCACCTCTCAGAGAGAGCCTTCCACCTCATGCCGCACACCTGGCACCTGGCCGGACTCCACCCACAGGGAGAACACGTGCTGGGCCCCTGGCCACCCCGAGCAGATGGCCCACTTGAGCCCAGACTGCCAGGCTCCTGCACCCCTTCTTCATCCCGCCACCTGGCCGCGCCCAGTGCAGGGCATTGTTTGCATTTGTGTCTTAGCACCATGCCACGCTGTGACACCAGGCAGCCCAAAGGGCGT